AATCCATTAAGACATATCTTTCACCATCTTCAAGTGACCCCTTGACCTTTCCACCTTTACAACATCTCATCAAAACACTATTCTTTCTCTTGCTAGAAACTACATTTATTATCATACCATTTGCTAAGCCCGTGCCTTTCACCCAATCAACCGCATCATCCTTTTCTGTAAATTCCTCATCTGTAGCAAACACTACTTTGTAATCTTCACCATCGCGACCAAAATTTTCAAACGAATCCTGCAAATTAGACATAACATTACAAAAAAAAAAAATTAAAACAATGTTGCACTATAATAAACTAAATTAATTATAATTTGCAATTATTTAAAAAAATTAATAATATATAGACAAATTTAATAAATAATTAAAAAATATACAATTACATTAAACAATTTCTAATAAGAAAACATATATTTAACTAATAAAAAAATTATATTAAATTAAATTTCCCTATAACTACACTTAAATTACTATAATTAATTATATTCGCATATAAAATTAAAAATATAATTCCTAATTAAATAAACCAAAAAAATGAAATTTAACTAATTACTAAATTAATTATTAACATAACTAATTCAAAAAAAACTAATCTAATTAAAAACTAAACTAACTTACTAAACAAATAATCAACTAAGAATCATAAAATATATAATGACAAAAAAAATAAAAAAATTAAAATAAAAAAACATAATTAAACGTAAATAATAAAAAAAAAACCAGAACGGGCAAGATACCCGTTCCGGCTTGGTTCGAACCGGGCAATATACCTGTCCCGATTGAACTAAGAACAGACAAGAAACTCGTTCAAGCCTTGAACCGGACGCGTGGCTCGCTTGTCCGGGCGACAAGGCGGACGTGTTGCTTGCGCGTCCTTGGTTCAACTGGGATGCGTATATTGCCCGTCCGAACCGATTTACCCAGTTCGGATGGTAAACCGGTTCGGACGGACAATATACACGTTTTTCTTCAAACTCGAACGGGTATATTGCTCGTCTTTGGTTCAACCGAAACGCGCATATTGTTCAGTTTGGTCCGATTTTTTGTTTTTTTTTATTTTCCCTCTGAGTCACTCATCTCTTTCTCTCTCTACTTTGGATAAAATGACAGGGGTAAAATAGAAATTTTTAAAAATTCGTGGCCTTAAGTACTAAAATCGGTGGCTGCAAAAATCCATAGGCTTGATAAATACACGTACGCTTGTGTAACTATTGTGTTTTTTTTTTTTTTACTTTGCAACACTGTGTCCATTATATAAATTTCCTTGGAGCTGGATATAGTATGACCCGCAAGAACTAAAATTGCATGTCCTCATAATGTCGAGGTTCATGGGTAGACGTGACATCTCCCATTAATTACATAAAATTAAATAGAAGAAGGAACTGAATAAGAAAGATATGTTTAACATCTATTAATTTAATTGTTCAATTTTCAGTTTTTATTACACTACGATGATTGCTAACAATATCAACTTGAGTTGCTCTGTCTTTAGAGTGATGAATTTTCTTAATTATATATATTAGTCGTTGATGATATATTGAACTTTTGAACTCTTCGCTTGTAAACAAATAGAACAAGAAACCTGCAAAAAAAAAAAAAATTGGTTACACAATTAAGTAAAACGAACTCATATACTAATCTTGCGAAGAGCAAATTTGTTTTAACTAGAAAATAATTATGCCTATTTTTACCGTTTCATTTTAATTAATAATAGCACAAGCTGTTGGACTTATATAATACTTTCTCTGCCCCAAAAAAATAATTCGCATCAAATTTTTATATTTGATATTTGTACTATTTTTAATATAACTTATAAGATTCAAGGATTAATTTTTTTTTTTTTTTTTGGACATTCATGTGTTCGGCTGATTTTTGTCAAAACTGGAATCAGGCAGCATTCGAGCTGGAGTTTGTGTGAGCCCAAGAAGTAAGTAATACATTTGTGGGTCGGATTTGCTTCTTTTAGAAGCCACATTAGAATCGATTAGGGTTGGAACCCACATAGGGTTGAAGGTTTATAAAAACAGTACATCAGGGAGGAATTAGACACAACTCAACAACACAACAATTTTATTTATTGCTTTTATAACTTTGTTTATTAGTTTACCTTTCTTTCGAAAATTAGGGTTTATCTCCAAGTCTTGCAATGGATCGCACTTCCGTTTTCAATTTTTGATCCTTTATCAATCATAATTAAAACTCTTTTGGATCGAATCTCGCCTTTTGAAGATGAAGTACAATTGTTTGAGTGTTTAACGCGAGCTACTCAACTCAAATTAATCACAAATTTCACGTAAACAAGTATGATAAAGTGGTTTACATTAAAATAAGTTGGATGTAGCGGAAACTTTTGTACTAAGAAAATTTATATTTTCTATAATACCTTCTCTATGTGATTTTCTTTCTTTTTTTTTTTTTTTTTGAGAGATGTAATAATTGTGATAAACTTTGTAGTTATTTTATGTTGGAAAAAGAAAAAAAAGAAGCCTATCAAATATTCCAGTCGGCTTAGGATTTCCAAACCTCCAAAGCAATGCCTATAAATACCCAATCATATGGAGAATTCCTTCATTTATCTAACACCTGTTTTATCCAATCGTTCGTAGTCATTGTTATTTAGGTTAAACTATATTCCATTGAATCACTCATGGCTTTCGAGAACGATCTCTACAGGGACGAAGATGGTGAGCCTTTGATGAGTTATGACGACCTTAACTCCGATCCTCAGTGGCCGGAGCATAATCAGAACCATATTCTCGACGATGATTCCTATAACGACGGTGGGTCAAGTCGGGACACTTCACCACCACCGCTGCCGCAGATTGATCTACAAGACAATTTCCAGGCGGCTAAGCCTCCGAAGCGGCTGATTAAAAAGTCTCAGGGAACTGAGCCGGCGTCTGATTTAGGGTTCCGTGATGATGACGTGATGGACTTCGCGAGGGATGAGCCGGAAGATGGTGGGCTTCCATCTTCTTCATCATCAGCTAAACGTGGGATCAAGAGAAAAAATTCTGGGAAGAAAATCAGGGAGGATGGAAGGAAAACAGACAAGAAGAAGAAGAAGAAAAAGAAGGCCGGAAAAGTTGGAGGTGAAGTAGATGATCGTGAGATACAGGAGATGTGGGAAACGGTGGCCGGAGGAGCAGGGGATTCAGAGGATGACAGAGAAGGTTTAAAGACGGTGGATGACGGGAATTTCATAGATGACTCAGGTGTGGAACCAGCCGGGAGTGATCGGGAAAAATCTCCGGGCTTTGCTCCTCAGGCCGAAGAAGAAGAAGAGGATGATGAAATCAAGCAGATATTCAACAATGGAAAGAAGACGAAGAAACAAGAGAAAAGTCGGGAAGAGATTGGTTTGATGATTTTGGAGGTGATGGCGGAGCTAGAACTTGCAGCGGAAGACGATGCCAAATTAAACAGAGCAAATAAACCGGCAATTCATAAACTCATCAAGCTGCCTTTTCTGAGAGAATCTCTTTCAAAGAAGCAGCTCCAACAGGAGTTTTTAGACCATGGCATTTTGAGCCTTTTGAAGACATGGCTTGAGCCACTCCCTGATGGAAGCTTACCCAATATCACCATCCGGGCTGCGATTCTGAGAATCCTCTCTGAATATCCAATTGATTTGGAGCAATTCGAAAGACGGGAGCAATTGAAAAGAAGTGGGATTGGAAGAGTTGTTATGTTTCTTTCAAAGTCTGAGGAAGAAACTATAGACAACCGAAAACTTGCCCGTAGTTTGGTAAACCAATGGAGTCGACCCCTTTTCAATAAGAGCATAAGGTATGAGCATCTGCGCAACTATGAAGAAGAAGAAGCAGAAGAGATGGCCTTCAGGAGAGCAGCATCTGTCAACAAGAGTAAAAACAGAAGTGTAATGGTATCCAGGGATGATGATCTTGAGTTTGGTGTTGGCGATTCGCAGGGATCGGAATCTGGCAAGTTGTCATCTTCGTCTTCTAGACTGCGCGCGAGTCGACCTGAAGCTATGTCCATGGACTTTGTGGTGCGGCCGCCATCGAAAATTAATCCCGGAGAAGTCAGGGCAGGGGGTAGACAGGGGCGGAATGACCGGAGGCAGAGTATCAACAAGAAGTTGAAGAAGTTGAATTTATCTTCCAAAAGGAAGCCCATCCAAGCTATGAAGCTTAGTGCGGAGGGACGAAGTATGGTTAAGTACTTGTAGTGGTTGTCTATATATAAATTATGGTTTTCACTTTTTTTTTTTGGTCAAAGGTATACGTATGTTACTCTTTCAATGTGCATCATTTCCTCCCATATATTACATTAAAACTAGGAATTTGCCATTTTTTGGGCCAAAAGTTTGTACCTTAAAAAATATAGAATCACCTTAAAACCAGTTAAATGATGGTTAATTGGTTATAGTAACAATTTTCCTTTTCTGTACTACCTCTGTCTACTAAAAACTTGTATTTTCAAAACCGGGCCGGCCCGAGCGGTCTAACCGGTTAGCCTGAGAACCGGAGGCCTCATCGGTCCAGTTTGCATAAAAACCGGATTTTGTATAACTCGGTCAAACTCGGGCAAAAGCGTAGTTTGACCAAAAACCGGTACCGGTTGAACTAGTTTTTGCATATATTTTTTAAAAAATTAATTTTAAAATATTTTTTTAATATTTTTTTAACCAGTTTTAACTAATTTCGAGGAACGAACTAACCCGTTAACCTGATAAACCTACCAACCCGGTCACGCTAATGGTTCACCTTCCAGTCCGGTTATGAAAACATAGCTAAAAACCCTCCATTTTGTATTTTATGAATTGTACTGAAACAGTAAATTTTGAAAATTCCAATGTGGGAAAACAAAAGCAAGTCCAATTTGACGTGCTAATTCATTTCTTGTTCACGTCAACTGAAAATGACGAGAAAAGAAAACAGTGGAGTTTGGCTAGTATGACCCACAAGAACAATCCCTACATCTCCTTATAAATTTGGATGTATTGTAGCGAGTAGTTTTAGTTGTTTTTGTTCACAAAAAAAAAGAAGAAAAAAAAGAATCTCTTCAACTTTGAAGTCTTTGTCTACAATGGCAGCTGCCAAAGGAGATCCATACAGGTCCTATTTGAGTGCAGAGGAAGTCCAAAACACTCACTGGAAATTTGGTCCTCCTAACTATGATGCTGCAAACAAGCTCTTCGAGGAAGGCCAGACTAAGGTTTGATTATTTTCCCTGCTTTCTTTAATGTTCTTCATTGGAATCCTAAAATTTACTATCAATGGAGGGAGATTATATCAAATTGGTCTCCCAATTGATTTTGAGTTGAATGTGTCTGAATTTATTTATAAGTCATGGATTAAATTGAACAGATATGGCCTGCTGGATCAGTTGAGGAGAAAGTGCAGAATCTTGTAAAAACATGGGAAATGGAAGTTTTTAACAAAGCAAATCCTGAAGAATACAAATGTTTGGATCCTAACAATTATACTATTAGCGTCAATGGTAGGGAGAAACAGAGCTTTTTTTTCTTTATTTTTTTTTTTGGTAAACTTGTTCTGTTTAATTTCTTCTTTTTGTTCTTTTTAAGGTTATGTCATCTCATTAAAGAGCTTTCATATGTAAATGATTCTTGGAAAACTACTATTTCCTCAGGAAGGAAACCATTGACAATAGCAGAAAAAGGAAAACTTGGGGGAGGTTACAATGTGTTACTTCAGACAGAGTTGCCAGAGAACTTTAGAGTCTATGATCCTGCAAAAGAAACTACTGAATCAGCCCTGAAAGTTTTCAAAACTACGTTTCCACGCGGATTCGCTCTCGAGATCCTTCATGTATATTCAGGGCCTCCAGTCATAGTATACAAATTCAGGCACTGGGGTTTCATGGAGGGACCTTTTAAGGGACATTCTCCAACAGGGGAATTGGTTGAGTTTTTTGGGATGGCGATTTTCGAGGTACACTTCCATATCTCCATTGTCTTCCCAAAATTTTCCCTTGGTTTCGTTTTCCCATCTGGGTTCAGAGAGAATTAAATTCTGATTCATAAGATTTGAAACAGGTGGATGAGCAATCTAATAAGATTGTGAAAGTTCAGTTCTTTTATGATCCTAAACAACTACTTGAAGGTCTTGTGAAGGGAGATAAAATTGGAGATGAACTTAAGGCCACGGCATCTTCAACTTGCCCTTTCATGGCCGCATCAAAATAGCTTTGGTAGCAAAGGAGGATCAAGAGTAGTGATTGGAGCAAGATAGAGTCGGTGTTCCCCACACACGCTTCGTACTGAGTTATAGTTAATTTATTTCAAGACTTTCACCTCTTTCAGTGTATTAACGGAAAAGATTAGTTTGAGTAGCGAAACTTGTTCCAGTGTTATTCTATTTGGTATACTCCCTCAGTCTCAAAATAATGGGACAACTGCACCGCCAATGCACTTAACAGAGAAGTTGGCCCTATGTTGAAGGAACACATGAAATATTGTTGTTGAAGGAGTGGAGATTAGCAGACTAGCAAAAGTAAAGGCTCAGTTTTCAGAAGTTAATTCAGAATTAGAGAGCTCAAATTCTAATTCTGGGTCCCAATGCAATGCAACCAAACAGAGCCTAAGTTGAAAAAACACCCAGATTCGATAACATTCTCAAAAGCCCCCAAAAAAAAAATCGCAGCAGAAAACGAGAGAGTAATGAGTCTCTAAATCTAGCCTTCATAACAAGATCTTTCGTAAAACTCTCCCGAGAGCCAACATATAATAAACAAAGAAAGAATAAAAAAAATAGAGAGCTATGCGCCACAAGAGTTAAAATTGTAAAAGACGAATAAATTATTTACTACCGTCTATATTGTATAGTTTGTGATTTGTACTAAAAACCATTCGAATCACAAATTACAGTGTAAACTATTATAATTCTTGACAGAATTCTTGACAGAAGCAGTATAAGTAGATCTATTATAACTATATAAGACCAGATATGATATGGTTATAAAAAATAAAATCATATCAGAATAAAATGTGTTTATTTAAACAAGACAAGATGGTTGGATCCAAGTCCCCATAGCCATATTGTCTAACCTGTATGGTTTCTCATCAACAAACCGACCATTATACAAGTGATATTTCTTGGTGTGTAAGGAATAGAACACGCCATTTTTGCGATAAAATTTCGGAAAATAAATCTTGTTACCCATATGTGAGCAGATAGGTGCTTTTGCCACGAAAGACGCAATTTCGCTAACAAAGAGCATCGTATCTCTTAGGTTTTCGACTGGAATCCACATAGTTTGTAAATAGTCGAACTTGTAAACTGGAACTTCGGGATCACGATGGCTAATAACTGCTGCAAAAATTTCTCCATCATCTCCGGGCGCTAAGAAGCTCCGATTCAGCAATCTCGATTTCAAACCTATAAATCTGATGCCTGTAGATTCATCAATCCATGTTACTTTCATTTCAATTCCATCGGGATCTTTGAAGAATATAGCTAGACGTCCCTTCATATCTAAGCAATAGTATCGGTCATTGTGGTAAGCTAGGGTATTACTACAAACTTGAAACTTATAAGGGTTTGAGAAAAAATGAAAGGTCCAATACGGCTTTTTCCCATTCTCAATGCGCCCAACAGTGAATTTGTCTGGATATTGAACACAATGAAAGATTCCAAACACAGACCAATCTGAGCTCGTTGGCGGAAACGGAAAAGTTAATGCTATGATATGGCAAGTAGGCCAATCAGAAACTTCTATCCTGTTATTCCTCTTGGTGCTACCAAAAGGGTTGAAAAAGAACACCTCCCTTGGATAATTGGTGTTGGACATGAGCAACCATCCGAACTTGGAGCAATGAATTTCGACGTCCTTAAATTCGGGGATTTCGACGTTGTAGATCGAATTGTTGGCGGGATGGAACAGTTGAGTACACTCTGTACGAGTGCTACCACCAATGTAATGGTGCAGAAGTAGACAAGGGCTTTGATGCTTGATGCTTCAAGGAACAGTGAAGTATGGTTGATGCTTTGATGTTTCAAGGGCTAAAGTAGGGTTTTGGATTGATTTTGTGGCTTGACATATTGCATTGAAAGCTGATTGATCCTCTACAAACAAGTAGGATATTATCAAGGTCAAAAGACAATCTATCGACCTTGCGTTTTTCCCTGATCTTCATCCACAACATCACTTGGTACGGAAGTAGTTTTCTTTCCCATACTTGATGACCCAATAAATAAACAAACAAACAAAATCCCAGAAGGTTGAACGATAAAGAACAGAAAATTGAGACCGTGTGAAAGCCAGAGAACTATATATATATAAAATCACGTGTAGATCAGTTTGTTTCCTAAATTAATCTTCCAAATCCATTGTGAATTTGGTTTATCCGGGTGGTGTCACCTTTTTTTTAAGCGTCTTATAAATTAAAAATATATATTTAAATTTTGAAAAATAATATTAATAATTAAGTAAATTAATCAGTAAATAATCGATCGTACTCATCATCATTTATTTTTTTCCCAATGATAATAGTCCAGAAAAATATTGAATTTTTCATGATAGCACCTTATAGGCGTATACTACTACTACTGTATATACCATCTTTAACTATTTGAAAATATGATAATCAAATCTCTGTATCTCTTATCTATAGTCTATAGTACTTACTTAAAGCAGCAAACGCTAAGGACACGTGTTAGAACCAGAATGAAAATTTTTCCTCCAAAGCTTCTCAACACTTCTCAGTACAAATTCGAATCAAGCAAAATGAGACACGTGGCTTCTTATATTTGCAGGAAATTTTATCACTGAGATCGGTTATAGTAACAACATATTTTAATGAAAGTTTTAAAATTTAAAATCCCTCAATTGAGGGAGGAAACTAATTTCATACGGCTGGGACTAGGTACTATCTTCCCCTAAAATAGCCATGTAAATTCACTGTCTATGTAATTTATGTTAAAAATTTGTTCCTGTCTATTTCCAGAAAATAAAAGTCTTTTCAGCAAGGAAACTTGAAAAATTAACTTCAATAGAATCCCTAATTTCTTGCAATTTCATTGCTGAATATCAATGCGGGCTAATCCTAAAAGTATCTCCTATCAATTACAATATTTCAATTTCAAATGTAAAGGATCAGATCGATTCCGTTATCCTCTCTCTGTATACTGTGTTGTTCAATCGAAATCCCAGAAAAACAAAACGTATCCATCCGACTGCACCAGAGAAGATGAGAATGAGGAGGATGACTCCCACCCCCATGATGTCGTTCTCTCTTTCAACTCCAAGCTCGAAGGAAATAGCGGTGGAGGTTCAGGCCGCTCTGCAAGAGGTTCAATGAGTGAGTTCATGAGGAATTTCTTCCCGTATAATCCCCTATTTCCCTTTTTGATTTGTCAAATTAGATTCTGATTTATTCATCTCACTTTAAGTTCTGATTTATTCATCAAGATTCAATCAATCGCATCAAAATCCAATCTTCCTAATCACTTTCAATTTTCAATAAAAAGGCAAAAAAGAAAAATCATTGTCACCTCTCTTTTTCCTGATTCATCCTCTCAACTTCGGATTGAGAACGAGGAGGGAGTGAAGTATTCATTAATTCAGGAGGCTGAGTTTGGATTCAGTGAGGTGATTGAAGATGAGAAAAGAATGGGAGTCTTCGAGGATGACAAGCTAGCCGTGGGAGGAGCGCAGCTGTGACGGTGGCAGTAGAAGGCTACGGATAGGCTACACCGGTACGTTAACGATTGTAAGTCTTGCGGTCCTTATTCAGAAAAAAGTCGGTAAAGAGCTCACCGTTTACTTCATAAGCAAAGTCCTGCAAGGGGCGGAATCTCGGTACACCCCCATGGAAAAGCTAATATTAAGCCTTGTGCTCGCTGCTCGACGATTGCACCCCTATTTCCAAGCTCACCCTGTACATGTCTTAACCGAACAACCTATCCAGCAAGTCCTCCTCAAGTCGGAGGCTTCACGCAGAATGATGAAATGGGCAGTCGAGCTGGGGGAACACCACATCGAATACAAGCCCCGCATAGCTATCATGGGACAAGCATTCGCAAATTTCCTGGTTGAAATGCCCAGAACTCCAGATACTACGCAAGAGTCAACACCGAGGAAACAGCTATAGGAACATCCCTCCATAGATCCTCGAGCCTGGACTCTCTACGTCGATGGCTCTTCTTACGAAGATGGGGGAGGAGCGGGTATCATCCTAGCAAAGCCAACAGCTTCTCGAGAAATCGAGGAAATCAAGGAATACGATACTGAATACTCCACGCCTTAAAGTTTGGTTTCCCGGTTACCAATAATGTCACTGAATACGAAGCAATGATCACAGGATTGAATATGGTTCTCAAGTTAGGAGTTCGAAACTTGCAAGTTTTTAGCGACTCTCAGGTGGTTATCAAGCAAATCAAAGGTGATTACACGGTCCGCGAGGAACACCTCCGACCATATCTCGAGAAGGTTCTTGAGATCAAAGACAAGTTTGAAGAATGCTCTATTTCCCACATCCTCAGAACCAGTAATAAAAGAGCTGACGCGCTGAGTAAGTTTGCTTCATCTAATTTTGCTAATCTCAGTCACAAGGTTTGGGTTGAGATACTCCCCGAACCTAGCATTCGGCCCAGAGTTTCCCTGACTATCACTGAGGATAAAGATACGTGGATGACACCATTCATCCAATTCCCCGATAACAAGTACGAAGCTCGAGCGTTGAAGCTGAAAGCAGTTAAGTACACTCTGAAAGATGGAATCCTCTACAAGCACGGGTATTTGCTCCCGATGTTACGGTGTGTCGGACCAAAGCAAGCAGCGTATGTTCTCAAGGAAGTCCACGAAGGATCGTGCGGAGCCCACATGGAAGCAAAAAGCTTGGCCAAAAAGGTCCTTCGAGCAGGATACTTCTGGCCCACAATTTTTAAGGATGCTTATCACTTCGTGCAAAAGTGCAACAGATGCCAGAGGTTTTCACCGATAACCCGACAGACACAGCATGAGATGGTAACCATACAAAGTCCTTGGCCATTCTACCAATGGGGCACCAACATCATTGGCCCTTTTCCAAAAGGGGCGGGAGGGCTGCGATAGGTTATCGTAGCCATCGATTGTTTCACCAAGTGGGTGGAAGCAAAACCATTGGCCTCGATATCAGGAAAGAAAGTGTTGAATTTTTTCTGTTAGAACGTAGTTTGCCGGTTCGGAGTGCCCAAGGTAATTGTATTAGACAATGGGACCCAATTCGAGAGCGGTCCCTTCAAGTCATGGTGTGCGGAGATGCAGATCGAGTGTCGATTCTCTGCTGTTGCCCATCCGCAAGCGAATGGTCAAGCTGAGTCAATCAACAGAACCATTCTACATGGAATTAAAACAAGGCTGCACAATGCCAAAGGGGCATGGGTCAAAGAGCTTTCTCACATTTTATGGGCATACCGCACCACGGCTCACTCCTTGACAGACGAAACGCTATGCAGTTTAGTCTATGGAATGGATGTTGTCCTCCCAGTCGAAATTGACCTTGCAAGTCCTCGCACGATCAATTTTTTCGAAGACACCAACAATGAAGATATCCTGACTAACCTTGACCTGCTCGAGGAACGGTGAGATGCCGTAAAAGTATGGGAAGCCAAGTACAAAGAAATCCTCAGGAAAAACTATAATAAACGAGTCAAGAGCACTAACTTTGCAATCGGGGATTTGGTACTTAGAAAAAATGAAGCCAGCCGAGCAGAAACCCCTGGAAAATTGGCGGCCAACTGGGAAGGGCCCTATCGAGTCATTCAGGTCTCTCCATCGGGCAGTTACAGATTACAGATGACAGATGACACGGGAACCATTCTCCCCCGATGGTGGAACATTCAGAATCTACGCAGGTTCTATGTTTAGATTTCCTACTTGCTATTTGCTACTTTATTTGCTGAGTAATTTGTCGTTTTCATTTATTTGTATGTAATGCTAGCCCAGGTCCTCGGGTAATTATTAATAAAAGCCGTTACATACTTCTTCTATATATTGTATGTGTCGACACTATGTTATGACTAGTCACCGAGATGGACACCCTCTTTAGGGCCATTCTCGAGTTGAGCCGTGTATTCAACATCCGGACACTTAAGCCGAGGATCTCTTCTCGCACTTACCGCCAAACACGGTGTTGCTAAATCGGGGAATCCGTATTCGATTCCTCGATATTGCCATCTACTTTACATTCGGCCAAAAAAGCGCTATAAAAACATACTCGAGTACAAACAAATAACTGACGCTAATACAGCTCGGTGCAAATATAATGTCCTCACATTTAGTGCGGGTTAGGAAAATGTATCAATATATGCTTGATATATACCTAAATCTTGAGATCTGTCCCCTTAGGGTTGAATCGGGAAGGCTTAATAACGCTAGAACATCCCATCACCCTAAGCCTATGGAGACACTGGCTAAGTTTATCTTTTAAATCTAGAATCTTCCAATCTTGGTCGTTGATTCTAAGAAGATACTCCTCAGCGGCTGCCCTTTCCTTCGCTTCATCATCCGGATCGAGGTCCTCGAGAATAGGTAAGGAAATCTCGTTATCCACCAATATGTTCTGCAGAATGACAGCCTACTTCGAGTAGAACTTCGTCTCTTTGGTCCTCTTCTTTAGGATGTCAATTGTAGCGATAAAGCATTTTGTACGAACCCTTATCTGTGCCTCGACTAGAGCAAGCGTGTCGAATTTTTCGAGGAACCACGGGGACACAACAATATTCTCGCGCTTCCTCAGTCGAGCATTTTCTTTCTTCAGTTTCTCCATCTCCTCGTTAATGTTGGCTTCTAGAGATAAGGAATCATGAAAGTCCAAGTCATATTGGTGAAGTCGACGCTTCCACTCTTCCTCTTGCTGTCTAAAGCGCTGCACCAAGCGGGAGTACGCTCGAAGGTTAAGCGCATTGACCGTATCGGTAAGCTCTTTCTCGAGGGCTCTCACTTTGTCAGTGTTGTGAACATCCCCAAATTTCCTCAAAATTGAAGAAATCATCGTATACATGGGAAACTTCGTGACCTCGTCTTCCTCAAGGATCAATAGACGTACTAGATGAACGAAGTACGAATCCTGACATAATGGGCAGAAGTACATCAAATGTTAGAGGAAAAAGGCACTGGTCTAATTCATAATTGGCAAAAATTGTTCAAGAATCACTACAACAGGCTAAGGTCTACAACCTTAGCGGCAAAAATCCTATTACAAGAAGAAAGTTCATACGTCATTTTGACCGGGAAGCTGGCTTGGTTGGTTCTCGTTTGTCTCCTCGACAGGGGTATGAGCCGACGTCCCTTCCTTTTCAGGCTCCTGATCATTCTCCCTATCCCCCTCGACCTGCTCCGAGGAATCCTCTTCCCACTCCACCTCAAAACCGATGAAATCTGGGGCCAGCTCCGGCACGCGTACCTCTTCTCCAGCATCATCAGGGAGCACTATAAGGGCATCTCCTTCAAAAGAAGCGATCTCTGTCGATGAACCCATCTAAGCAACAACATTGCATAATGGCCCGAACAGTGGGAGTTGACCATCGGAGAGCTGCTGCAACCCATTCTTTATGGCCTCATAGAGAGTCTTCTTAGGATGCGGCCTTATAAATTGCTGAAGCCATCCAGCATTAATGATCCTTCCGCTCTCCATCCTCTCGAGAGCAGCCACAGCTACACCATGTCCTCCTAGCCCCTTGGCATCGTTGCTAATGCCCACCAGGATGCTCGCCAATCCACCAGTCGGCATCATTCTTGCCCAAAAGGCAGTCATCCAGGCCTGCAAATCTGATTTGGGAATATGGAACTCTCTATATTCTGTCAGCTTGGCCTCAATCTCCCTGTACATGGCCTGAACCGTGGCTAACTCCTTCTCCCTGGCAAGCCTCATGTCCTGCTCCTCCTTTCTCGACTCCTCATGCGTTAACTTCTCTTGTTTTAATTTCTTCTCCCGCATAAGAATGCTGGCCATCGAGGTAGTCAACTACAAAGAATACAAGATAGATTTCAACCAAAGTATCGCAGAAACTCAAGAGTAAATGAATTTACAGATTGATAGATCTTACCATTTTCAGCGATTCCTCTTCCGTCAAGGTCGCTGCAACTTCCTCAATGATGGGACACTCGATCCTAGTGTCCCCAAAATGATATATGGCGGCGGCAGCAGTATACGTCGACGACCCGTCAGTGTCTTCGACAGTGTTCTTCCTCTCCAGCGAAGTCTCGAGTGGTCAAAACCACTTTGGATGCCTCCTTAATTTCCTCTTCTTGGTAACTTTGTTCGAGGACCCCTCATCATCTGAATTTTTAATTTCAAAAATCTAGACGTCACCAAACAATCCAATGGTATCTTTGCTCGATGACATGACCTAAAACAAAAAAAATGCACATGATAAGTTAGTACCTTTTTTCTCCGCGACGTGGACAGGGGGAATGTATTATTGGACTTTAGTGTAGCTGAGGATGGTCTCGAAAGATTCCAGAGCGTTAATATCGGCTCTGTACTTCTCAATTTTCTATTTGTCAGCGCTGGTCCAAGTATCTGCTATAACACCTAGTTCATGGGTTTCACGGTAATCCCACGTCACGCAAAACTCTTTTGGTGCTTCCACAAATAAGTAGTTTGGCTTCCATATCGGAGCACCGTCGAAGAGTTCTACTATGTGATCTGTTTTCGACGTTATGTTGGTTTTTGTATTATACCACTCTTTGTACTTAGTCGAGGGAACGCAAACTTTAAAGAAATACCTCTACACTATTAATCGAGGCGTGATGTTATGCAATTCACAGAGTCTCGCAAAATCGAGGACCGCTGTCACTAAGTTTGGGGTAAATCGAGCAAGTGGAATCTTATAGTGCTGTACTATTTTGCCAAATAGAGGGTAAAGGGGGAATCTTAACCCTAGAAACATGAATCTAGCATACACAGTAATTTTTCCCTCTGGTGGAGTGTCAGGCCGTTCATAATCCAGTGGTGCTCGACAATCTAGATCTATGGGAAAGTTATGTTGCTTGGCAATTTCTTTAGCCTTTGCTTCAGAGTTTATGGTTGATGCAAACTCAGATACTGTCTGAGCGGCCATATCTACCCGAATATATATGAAAATCTAACAAGATTTAGACAAAGCAAAAGGCACATGGGGGTATTAAAAATACAAGAGGATTGGAAGACTTACTTCTGTTGGAGTTTAACGCGCGGCGTTGAGATAATGCTTTCCTGGTGGTAGGTGCTGCAAGCGTTTCCGGCAAGGATGGAGGATTTCTGTCCTTGACAGCAGAGTCCGATGCGCTGGGGCAGAAGGGTTGTATGTAGTTTTTTGTTGCGTTTTTGAAAAAGAGATGAATGGCCTAAGTCTTCCTTTCCCAATATAAGAAAAAAAAATTTTCCTTTCTCTCTCCCACGACCTGACATTTCAGGCGAAGTTTAAGGAGCAATGATGATTGCTCGGTCATCGTTTGGGAGTCGTGTGCACTGATGGGGCACGCCTGCCAGGATTTGGGCGAGATTCTGAAGCGGGTTGTGTTCCCGGGTTGGGTTTTGACCCACGAGTTAGGCCAATAAGCCCGCTTAAGGCACTTTGGAATATTGGCTATGCAATTAATTTGGGCCGGTCCAGGTTAGATTTATATTTTGTCAAGTCTTGTTTATTTCATATAATTAATACTTAATAGGGACACTTGACGAGTCCATATCCACCCCCGGTATTGGACCGGCCCAAGAACCGTGTAAGGGGCCCGACTGACTCCAATAGGGCGGGAATGTGACTAAACCCTAGTAGGAATCGGTTCCCTAATTGTATCTGTTTGCCTATAAATAGGGATGCAAGTTCCACAATTAAGGTACACTATCTTAGTTACCAATCAATACACGCACGCAATTCTGATTTACTGCATTAAACATCGGAGTGTCTACCCTCGGGAGACGCCCGAGGTTCTTTTTTGCAGGAAATCCTAGTCAAAGTTCCGTAGCCGAGCCAGGGATACAAATCCAGGCATCGTCAGCCACTGAAATGCCTGAGTTTGGAGAAATGTTCTTCATGACAGAGTTGGCTCTCTCTTTGAGCTTCGGAACCCTATGAACGTCCAAATCCGAGTTTTGGACATCAAGTTATCGCCTCTGGAAGTTGGCCGTATGTTGCTGAAGTTTCTGCAGACTTGATGACAGTTCTAATACTGAACTTCGGATGCCGTTTTGGTCATTTTCTGAACTGAATTTGGAAAACTCATCTTCATGACAGTTGTAGCTTCTTATTTCAGCTTTACGATGGTACCTTGGACACTTAAATCAGAGCTACGGATTACAAGTTAAGGCATCCTGAAAATTACTGCTTCATGCTGAAACTCTGCACATTTTGGATTCAGTTCTGATAACCGAATTCCAACTGCAATTTTGGCCCCTTTGTCATCTGAATTTGGATAAGTGTTGCATATGGCAGTTGTAGGTCTCAGTTGGGCTTCACAAGCGTATGTTGATCATTCAAAATGGAGACTCCTAACTCAAGCTACGAGTCTTCAAATCCGACTTCTCAACGCGACCAACACTTATGAAGTTTCAACTTTTTATAACATTTTGCTCCAATTGATAATCTTTTATGACATTTTTTTCTGCCTACATTAACAAACACAAAACTTGAGAAATATACATTTTTAACTCAATAAATTCATAAGAAATGAGTCAAAACGAAATAAAAATCATGTGAAAGTATATGAGATAGCAACTATGTTCGTTTTTCATCAGTTGCACCCAAAGAGGTTGAACTGAAGAGATGGCATTCACCCTACACACCCCTTTTTCATCCCATCGGCCACTGCATTTTCGGACCCTTTTTTATACTGAATCTCGTAATCAAAACCCAAAAGTTTGGTGAACTACTTATGCTAAGCATTACCAATCACTTTCTGCCCCAACAAATATTTTAAAGACTGGTGATCAGTCCTAATTATAAAGTGTACACCCAACAGGTAGTGTCTTTATTTAGATACTGCTAAGACAAGGGCAAGCAACTCTTTTTCATACACCGAAAGACCAGCATTTTTCTGACTGAAAGCTTTGCTCATAAAAGAAATTGGATGGCCCTCCTGCATTAACACAACCCCCATTCCTAACTCGCTGACATCTATCTCCATGATGAATACCTTCTAGAAATCCGGCATCCTTAAAATCGGAGCAGAAGTCATAGCATCCTTCAACTATTGGAAAGTTTCTTGAGCTGCCGAATTCCAAACAAAAGCATCCTTTTTTAACAGACTGGTCAAGGGTTTACTAATCATCCCATAGTGCTTGATAAACCTCCGATAATACCCGGTCAACCCTAAAAAACCCTTTAGCGCCTTCACAGTTGCAGAAATTGGCCAATTAGCAATCCAGTCAATTTTTTCCACATCTATACTAACACCCTTCTGTGAGATGGTATGGCCGAGATAATTCACCTGTTACTAAGCAAAGTTACATTTGGAAAGCTTAGCAAATAGTTTTTGTTCCTGTAGAATAGACAAAACTTCCTCCAAATGCTTCAAATGCTCCTCAAAACTAGAGTTGTATCTAAGACTGTCTTCCTGAGTTGCTTCTGAAAAACCTGGTTCATGAGCAATTGGAAAGTAGCCGGTGAGTTGGTCAATCCAAACGGCGTTACCCGAGAACTCAAAATGTTTGTGATGAGTCTGGAACGTCGTCTTGTGAACATCCTCCTCCTTAACCCTAATTTGGTGGTAACTGGCCTTCAAATCCATCTTCGAAAACCATCTGGCTTCGTCCAACTCGTTCAACAACTCATCAATGATTGGAATGGGAAAACGATCTTTAATGGTCATCTCATTGAGCCTCCGAAAATCAACACACAATCTCCACGAACCATCCTTCTTCATCACCAAAATTACCGGGGATGCATAAGGACTATTACTTCTTCTTGCAATCCCATTTTCCAACATCTCGGAGACCTGCTTCTCAATTTCATTTTAAAAGCATGAGGGCAGCAGTATGGTGAAATTTTAAAAGGTTGGGAGCCAGACTTCAATACAATATGATGGTCCACATTCCGATAAGGCGGCAAGCTGGATGGAGAGTTAAAAACATACCCATATTTCTTTAGCAATTCAGCAACCTTAACAGGAATCTCGTCACTGCTAGCACCTTCAGCCTCTGAAAGCTCACCCTGCAAAGCCATCACCTGTGCCACATACATCCTCCTTCTCTGGTCCACATTCATCCACTAGAGCGCGTACATCCGATGGTTCCAAAGGTCCAACAGATCTGGCATGTTCCTGCCGGCAGAGCTCTGTATCTTGGCTGGCATGAGATCTGGTGGTGATCACCATACCCTGTCGAGAACCGCTTGCTCTGACTACCAAGTTGTCATGGAGGAGCACCGGAAAATCAAAATCAGAAAGAGGGGAAAAAGAATTTGAGAGAAAGAGAGAATTAGCATCATCATTCATTGAGGATTCCGTCCAGCTGTTACAATTGCTATATAAAGTCTAAAACCCATTCTAACAGAATGCAGTTACCAACAGATTCCAGAAGCTACCCAAAACAGAAATGAAAATACAGAAATAAGCCAAAAAAAATAGAAAAGATGCTAATCTGGGTCTGAACCCTACAATTGTTGGAAATATCATAATCGCGCCAATAGTTACTGCAAATCCAAAAGACCCCTTCAACTTGTGAATATTCCAGAGTAGACCGACATTCCATGACAGGAACACACTGGATCTGGATCTAGTCATGGGCCGGTGTCTGCTTATCTCAACTTGACATAGCCGATTAATTAGAAGGACCTTTTCATCACTCCTGGTTGTATGTCATGGTTGTCACTTCCAGAAATCAAAAGGAAAAGATTTCAGATTTCAGAAGGGAAAGAGGAGGAAGAGAAAATTAAAGAAAAATCAAATTAGGGTTGAGGAAATGAAATTGGGAGGGAAAAAAAAAAGGAGATTTTGGAATAAGAGATTTCAATAATTTTCATTCAATTAATCGATAGTCTATTCAAAATTCCATTAAATGGATCAATATTGATGAATAAATGAAAAATTTGTGACTAATTTTATCAGAAAAAACTTAATGGTGATAAAAAAATTGTGACCCTCCTCAATTCAATGACCAAAAATATGTTTTTGTCCTTATATAAATATATTCTAATTTAGGATGAGTCAGTGGGGCCATGGTCCCATCCTAAATCCGCCACTGGCCGGTATCATTGCTTTGTTCTGGTTTTCAAGTTTTCATTTATTTATTTATTTTTCTTAATATTTTGAGCTTAAGTTTTAGGCCTTGTAACTAAAGAAGAATGAGGCAAGGTAACTTTTTTTTTCCAGCTAATTGGATCCATATGATGACGAGAGCAAGGGTTTTTTTTAATTTTTTTTTTTAAGAAGAGAACAAAAAATTATTGTGGGCCATTTATTTTATTTTGCATTAATTGATAGTCTTAGGGTGAAGAATGAATTCCAGTTTGGCCTTTTATAGTATGTGAATTTAACTATTTCAGAAAATGTATGTCAGTTTTAAATGAATTTTTATACTAGCAAAATCTTTTGGAGTTCCAACTTGCAGCTAAATAGAATTGGGAAATCGGGGTAAAATGAATAAGAAAGAAATTAAAAAAAGAGTAGTGAAATAATAATATGATGTTATATAAATTCCTTTGTTATTTTTTACTTAAAGACTGCAGATTTTCTTTGGGGCTAGCCATTAGAAAGTTGAAATATTTGATCAAAACTATGTTATATTTTCGAAGAAATGTTGCAAAAGGAGAAGGGATAGAGTCAAGACATAAAACATGTCGTCCCTCAATCGTCATCCATTCGTATTGGCCATAATTATCAATAATTCATCAAATGAAAAGTTACAAAACAATCAGTAGGATTTGATACTTTTTATTACATAGAATCAAACTAATTTTAAATTTTGAAAAATCCTATCACTCCTAATCGTCCCAATTTCATGCACATCGGTAATAAGTTAATTTTGTAACTATAAATAACGCATATTTATCTCTAAAAATGATTGATCCAATTCAACCCAAAAGAAAAAAAAAATGAAAAGAAAAAATCGATCATGAGAGTCTTGCAAATTTCATAAAATCTGTTTTTGAGTGAATAGAAATGAATGATGAAATGTTTTGAAGATTAATATTATCTTATGAATATAGAACATGTACGAAGAGCACAGATAGGAAGTAATATGTTAGATGAAGAGAGAACATTTCTTTACAGAGAAACTGAGAAATTATTTTTAATTATATATATAAATGAAAAATTAGTATAATTAGAATTGTAAATTAAAACTAGATGTTTGTCCTGGGTGAATGCCCGGGGTGCTACCTGTATTTTAAATTGTTTAAATAAAAAAATTAATCATCCTAAAAAATATATGTATCACAATGTAGAATGACCAATTAATCAAAAGGGTATTTGTACAGAGCATACCTACATTTAGGACTTTCCCTATCTCTTCGTTGAAGCAAGAGAGTCAAGTTTTGTATCAATTACATAATAATTTCCTCTTCATCCAGTGTAAACACACTTGACAAAATCCTTCTCGCCATATTCAGGATCAACTGGAAGTCTTGTTGTTACCAACTTAAGAAAAACAACACCAAAATTGTATGTATCACACTTCTCATTCACTCTAGGTGTATATGCATACTCTGCAGCAACCAAATGGACTTCAAATTAGCATCCAAACCAATAAAAAGATTTTTCCCAAAAATCTAAGAAGTTTTGATGATTCCCTTTATGATTTTCCACCAACTTCTACCCATATCAGCAACTGTAACTATTTGAAATATGATTTTTACAATTTAATTAACACATCCATCAACTGATCTGATTGCCTGATAGCCCAACCATTCGGCTTCAAAAGTTGTATCTGTTTTAACCTTGGCAACCACTATAGAGCTGTCTTGAACCACTTTCTGTGAGCTCAATCATAGCATAAGCTTAAATACAAAGATCAAAACTTCCCAACAAACAGAATAGAACAGCGCAAAAAACAGTTCCCTATTTATCCATATTAATCTTACATCAAAAGAAGCATAGACCCGTTTTATCCATATTCATCATAAAGAAAACAAATTTACTTGAGAATGTATATCGTGATCATCAAAGAATATTCTTTAATAAAATTTGACCTCCTTATTTCAAGATAACAAAATAAAAAAAAAGAAGATAAACTTTACCTTGCAAGGCCAATTGGCTAGTTAAAACAATAAACGATAAAAATTAACCTCCTTATTTCACATGCAAATAGATTATTCACTTGGATATAGAAAATATCAAAATACCACATTGAGACTCTGGAAAACCCATGATACGTATTCATTTGGTAAATAATGCTGGAAATGCTGGTATCTATATCTTACGGTTTATAGCATTTCCAACAATAATGCTAAATAAAGTTGCAATTTGATCATCTATAAGCTTGAAATAAATCTTATTACTATATATTTGTTCTCTTCTAGAGAAATTAATGATGCATGAGAAATCTTATCAATCACATAAATTTGAGTTGTGAATGGTACCTTTAATGACGTAAATGTGATAACCATCATTTCCTTCTAGTTGTAGTTGACACTGCATTGTATGAACTCACCAACAAAGAAATGCTGAAAACTAAAAGAACTAATTTAACAACTGAAAGACCTCGCACAAATTCTTTTTCGCAGCTGGCCTCCTGGCCAAAGACGTAGGATGAATCTGTATTTGTACAGAGCATACCTACATTTAGGACTTTCCCTATCTCTTCGTTGAAGCAAGAGAGTCAAGTTTTGTATCAATTACATAATCAATTTCCTCTTCATCTAGTGCAAACACACTTGACAAAATCCTTCTCGCCGTATTCAGGATCAACTGGAAGTCTTGCTGTTACCAACTTAAGAAAAACAACACCAAAATTGTATGTATCACACTTCTCATTCACTCTAGGTGTATATGCATACTCTGCAGCAACCAAATGGACTTCAAATTAGCATCCAAACCAACAAAAAGATTTTTCCCAAAAATCTAAGAAGTTTTGATGATTCCCTTCATGATTTCCCACCAACTTCTACCCGTATCAGCAACTGTAACTATTTGGAATATGATTTTTACAATTTCATTAACACATCCATCAACTGATCTGATTGCTTGATAGCCCAACCATTCGGCTTCAAAAGTTGTATCTGTTTCAACCTTGGCAACCACTATAGAGTTGTCCTGAACCACTTTTTGTGAGCTCAATCACAGCTTAAACTTAAATACAAAGATCAAAACTTCCCAACAAGCAGAATAGAATAGCGCAAAAAACAGTTCCCTATTTATCCATATTAATCTTACATCAAAAGAAGCATAGACCCGTTTTATCCATATTCATCATAAAGAAAACAAATTTACTTGAGAATGTATATCGTGATCATCAAAGAATATTCTTTAATAAAATTTGACCTCTTTATTTCAAGATAACAAAATTAAAAAAAAGAAGATAAACTTTACCTTGCAAGGCCAATTGGCTAGTTAAAACAATAAACGATAAAAATTAACCTCCTTATTTCACATGCAAATAGATTATTCACTTGGATATAGAAAATATCAAAATACCACATTGAGACTCTGGAAAACCCATGATACGTATTCATCTGGTAAATAATGCTGGAAATGCTGGTATCTATATCTTACGGTTTATAGCATTTCCAACAATAATGCTAAATAAAGCTGCAATTTGATCATCTATAAGCTTGAAATAAATTTTATTACTATATATTTGTTCTCTTCTAGAGAAATTAATAATGCATGAGAAATCATATCAATTACATAAATTTGAGTTGTGAATGGTACCTTTAATGACTTAAATGTGATAACCATCATTTCCTTCTAGTTGTAGTTGATACTGCATTGTATGAACTCACCAACAAAGAAATGCTGAAAACTAAAAGAACCAATTTAACAACTGAAAGACTTCGCACAAATTCTTTTTTGCAGTTGGCCTCCTAGCCATAGACGTCGGATGAATCTGCAACTTCAATCTAGTGTCAAAACCGAATCAAAACATAGTTATTTATTTGAAATTTTAATCTAAATTATGAAGCCAAAAAATAAAGAGGATATGTTCAATACCTCCACCGTGTATATCCAGTTTTCTATTAAGTGGATCATCATTGCCATCCAGGACTCAAAATTCATGCAGCCCAAAAAAGCAGAACCTGAAAAATACACACACCTTGGTAATTAGTGCCAATCAACAAAGACATCACACCCGGAAATAATCTAAAGGCTCGGAGGCAGGCAATTCTGCTTTTCTGGTAGAAGCATGGCTTTCAACTTCATCTGCGAAAGTATATATCTCATAAATTTTGTGCAATTAAAACTCATAATCAGCATTAAATAAAAGGCCATGTTGTTGTCTGTATTCTCCATAATCAAAACAAAAGCCAGAATGTTTTCTTCCTCTACCATATCCTGAA